AAAAAAAAAAGACAAACTGCAATCTACTGAAGAAAAACATCTAAATTTTGCTACATAATCTCATCTCTCCAGCTTGACATTGGCAGCTAGCAGAACACATGATTTGTGTTTGTTTTACTCCCATGTAATCTCATTGGAGGCCCATCTTTCTTTCTCTCTCTTTCTCTCTCTCTCCGAGCTCAGCATCGGTCCTTGGCTCCATAACTGATTTATCAGGACACCTCTGCTTTCAGATTGGCTCACAGCTCTGCTCAAACCATGACTGGCACCTACCTAGAATGGGCGAATTGGCACAGATAAAGCCTGTATGTTTGCCTCTTAAAATGGACTCCTAACGATGCTAATAATCATATGTTCTGTTTTTAGCTCGCAAACTTAGCTCTAAAGAGGGAGAAACTGATGTAGAAAGTGACCTCGATGGATATGATTCATGATGAAACATTGCGAAACATTGAAAGCATACAGTCAGAAAGGATTGCCATAAAAGTACTATTAAACTAAAGGGGAAGATTTTGCTAATTTCCACACATAAAGCAATTATATGGCTTCAGAAGCGTTGATATATAGCAAATATGTCATTGAGACCACTTTTATGGTAATTTTACAGAACCTTTGTCTGTGTTTTGGAGCTTGACACACCTTGCTTACTGTATATTTTTAAAGGAAAAGAGCAGCATGAACATTCTTCAAAATATCTCGTTTTGTGTTCTTTAGAAGTAAGCAAGTCATACAGGTTTTGAATGGCATAGTAAGCTACTTATAACAGAATGCAGCAGCTTGCGTACCTCCGCTCCCATGGCCCAGGCAGCCAGAACGTGTCGGCAGTAATTGAGTTTGCGGGGCTTCATCTTTGAATCACAAGAGCCGCTGTATTGAGGCACGGTGTCCATCTGAGGAGAGCATTCGAACACTTCGATGTGATGAACAATGGCTTCATTACCAGGAGAGATCACAGACTCGTACTGCAAAAAAAAAAAATATATATATAATTTGTTTTCACCATTAATAACCAAGATTAAGAGATGTGAATTGATTGAGGAGGGATAAATAAGTTTAAAAACTACTGCCATTTTTCATTCAGAGTGTGCAAAAAACAAAAACTTGTTTGCCGAAAAAATGAAGAGGTGCAGTGAGCAGCATAAAAGAATGCAGGATCCTCAAACGGATTTAAAAAATGTTTTGTGGAAATTTCTGAGTTAAAAACGAGATGTTTGTGCATGATTCAGAGAAAAAGAGACCCTGTGCAATTATCAGATATTTGTCTGAAGTGTTTACATAGAAAAAATGAAAAAGCAGTGTACACTCTTAAAAATAAAGGTGCTTCACGATGCCATAGAAGAACCTTTTTGTCTAAATGGTTCCATAAAGAACCTTTAACATCTTTGGGGCGAAAGAAGGTTCTTCAGATTATAAAAAGGTAAGAAAGAGATGGTTCTTTAAAGAACCTTTGACTGAATGGTTCTTTGTGGAACCAAAAATGGTTCTTCTATGGCATCGCTTGAAGAACCTTTTGAAGCACCTTTATTTTTAAGAGTGTAGTAGAACAAAAATACATTAAATGGTTCTTAAAAGAACCATTTTTTCTTAATGTGATGAACATTTTAATAATCTAAAGAACCCTTTTTCCTTTTTCCGAACCAAAGATTCTATGGATGTCAAAGGTTCTTCATAGAAGAAAATGGCAATAAAGAAGCTTTATTTTTAAGAGTGCCTGATGTATAAGTAAAGTTTCTATTAAATGTGGCCTACAGAATCTCAGTGGAAGTAGTAGGTCATCCAGGTACTTTTCGCCTACTGTTTTTCCGCATACTATAGTAGGCATATTCGGGCGTAGCGCCTGCATTCTTTTCCATTTTTCAGCATCACATATTGAGTTTTTAAATGAGAACGAGTTGTGAGCGGCCCCGTAGAAGTTTGTTTAAATCCCAAACTCAAAGTCCAATGTGATCAATAGTAATACTGATGACTGCATTAGAATCTCCATTAATTATATTCAGATCCAGTTTACATCACAAAAAAGTGTTTTATTTTAAGAGCGTTATAATTGGTCAAAGTACCTCATATGCACCTATTATATAGGTATCATATCTCTGAAAGTTCACATAGAAAGGTTAAATGCAATGTGCAAGTGGCTCCAAGACTTTCAGGTTACCATGACAATGTGGTTCTTAGGCATATTAGGTGGGAGCTGATAGATGTGGCACCAGTAAGTGGTTTCCTGTGTGGGGATGATGACATCAGGGGCCAGGACCTCCAGAGTGCGGACATCTCTCGGGAGAGCAGGGGACGGAGTGTCTGGACGCAGGAGCAGCACTCGCTGGACGCCAGGCTGGAGACGGGATATGTTGAGTTCATGCAAAGATAGGATGGGACGCTCCAGCATGGCGTAGATGATGTGGACAGTGCCTTCCTGGAATTAACGAATTCTGTTAGCATTTTTGTCATCATATACATTCACCTTTATGTTTTTCCAGACCCATATAACTAAAGACATTTACTCTATTGAAAAGAGCAGCCTGAACATTCGTCAAAACATCTTGTTTTGTATTTCACAGAAAAAGAAAGTCATATGGGTTTGGAACGACATGAGGGTGAGTAAATGAAGACAAGGTTTATATACATTTACTTTAGACTCTTTCCTAACGCTTCCAAACATTTAAGGAGACAATACTAAATAGAGCACAAAACGTTATTCTCTGACCCAATATCATCGTTCATATGTTTCTTTATCCTACCTCTACCTTCTCTATCTGCTATTCTACTCTCATTTGTTTAGTAACGTGCCTCTATGATGTAGTCGTGTGGGTCACAGGTGCTGAATGGTCTTTTGAAGAGCAGGAAGAAGCCTTCAGTGGACTGATGAGTCTCCAGCAGCTGATAGTCCTGCTGAGCGTCCAGCATAACTCTGCCTTCATTATCACTCCAAGCATCCTAAGAATATGAAATGCACTCATGAAAACACCACCTTTGTTTCTTTATATCTCAACCATTCAAATGTTAGAGGTCGGTAGGTTTTAGAAGTCTCTTATGTATGAAGGACCATTTCTGCCATGGTATAAATAAGGTAATTGCAGCTTTTTAACCCACAATCCTCACAAAAAAAGTCAGAATTGTGAGAAAAAGTTAGAGCTGTGAGATAAAATTCTGTGGTGGAAAAAAAGAATTACAAGATGTAAACTTAGAATTGCAAGGTATAAACTTGGAATTTGCAAGAAAATGTTCAGAATTCTGAGTTCACATCTCGCAATTCTGACTTTTTTTCTCAGAATTATGAGACAAAATTAAGAATTGCGAGATATAATATCAGAACTGTGAAATATAAACTCACAATTATGAGAAGAAAAACATCAACTACAAGAAACAATTACAAGAAAAAAGTGAGAATTGTAAGAAAAGAAGTTGCAATTACTTTTTTTATTATTTATTCCATAGCAGAAACACACACACACACACACACATATACACAAAAATAAAAACTGCGAGATGTAAACTGAGAATTCGGAGAAAAAAAAAATCAGAATTGTCATATATAAACTCTCAGTTGCAACTATTTTATAAATACAGAGTTCTGGCATGGAACTCTAGATGGCGCACTCCGATAGGTCTAACTCAATCTGACCTAATGACATCATTATCACATGGCACAGCTGATTGGTTCTCTCCCGTATCGGTTGAGAGAAAAAAAATCAGAATTGTCATATATAAACTCTCAGTTGCAACTATTTTATAAATACAGAGTTCTGGCATGGAACTCTAGATGGCCCACTCCGATAGGTCTAACTCAATCTGACCTAATGACATCATTATCACATGGCACAGCTGATTGGTTCTCTCCCGTATCGGTAGCCAATGAGCTCGCTGCTCAACATTCAAATATATGACTAGGGCTTGCTGTAGCAGTTGCAGCTTGCTTCAGGTAGCAGATCTATTACGCCAAGACCAAATACATTAACATTGTCATGTACATTACCATGCCAATCCCTCCGAGAGTTGTCATGACAGAACTGTATTTTAATATAAGTTCCTTCTGAAATCATTCTAATATGATTGAATTTGAGATCTTTTCAGCATTTACTGCCAGCTTTTTTTTCAGCCCTACAATGTTTTGACTTGCTGTCTGTAACTCTTCTCCTTGACATACGTAGTGGGAGGAAGGATGAGCGGCTGGCTATACAACGTTTATTCAAAACAGACCAAACTGTGCAGTCCAAAGTCAAAATAATGAAATAAATCATGCATGATGAATGAAAGGGGGCCTTGACACACACATGACCTTCTACTTTCAACCACTTTATTTGGGGCGCGGCGGCCAAAACCCAGACGTGAGCTGTTCAGCTCGATGTTAGGAAGGAGTATTGCACTATACGACTGTACAGGAGCTCTACCAGCGTGTGGGTGTCTACTGTAGTCGGGCAATCATAACAAGATCCAGAAAGCAAGACTCTTCAGGCTCAAGAGTAACAGAGAGAGCTTGCTCTGACACTGGGGTTAGAAAATCGTCATCAGTCGTTCATAATTCAACAACAAAAAAATCACAAGTTGAGTGCAGCCTTTTAAATAGTTCACCCAAAAATGAAAATGCTGTTATTTTTTGCTCAACTTCATGTCATTCCAAACTTGTATAACTAATGCTTCTTCTGTTCAAACCAAGCGGCAAACTCCCGCTCTCTCGTGAAGCCAACACGGAAGTGACTTAAACTGTAATTCGTCAACTGGCCGCTAGAGACTGGCTCCAAAAGGGATTCAATCCCATAGACTCCCCATGTTAAAATGCCCAACTTTACAGCAGAAAAAATGTCTTTACTTGTCTTTACACTGTCTTAATGTACTATAATTAGTTAACTGGGGCAAATATGGTGATATCTATGAGTTAAAATATTTATTCACCTGTCATGTCTTGCCATAAAAATGTCTTATATATTATTATATATTATTTTATATGCTACTACTATTTATATGCTACTACTACTAATGTATTTATTTAGTTATTTTGTCTGTAAAGTGTACTGTAAGTCAATGGGATCCAAATGAACACTACTGGACCCCATTAACTTTCATTGTATGGACATATGGACAAAAGCAGTTCAATCATTCTTTAAAATATATGTTTTGGTGTATGTGTGTGTGTGTGCTCCACTTGTCATACAGGTTTGTAACAACATGAAGGTATGTAAATGATAAAAATTATAATTTTTGAGTGAATTATCTCTTTACCAAAACAAAAACCCTCATATTGACAAGATTCTACATTATGTTGCATCAGTTTCCTGCTCATCTCAAGTATGTATTTTGCAAAAGCACATAATCCTACACCGTCCCTGGAGCAGATTTGCAACACCATAAAGCAAAAACCATCATAGAAATCAAATCAAACTATTCTTACCCCAAAATAGGATTTGTGACCGTCGTCCCACATAAGGACCAGGTCTGCATTTGTGGGCTCTCCCCGATCGGACATGCCCAGCAAAATGCCATGGTGGAGCTCTTTGACTTTCAGCTCTAGATAGACCTCCTGGGTGGGATAGCTGATGTTCCAGGACAGCTCCAGCTGACCCGAGGGGTCTAAGGGGATGTGGTAGGCCAGGGCGGGTCTGGAGTGGACCGCAGGAGCCTGGTAGGAAGCCACCAAGAGCACCACCACAGTGGCCAAAACTGTGAGGTACATGAGGGTGACGTCTTGCAAGCGCAGGTCTTTGTTCAGAAGGCGCATTGCCTCTGTTGTCTTCTGCTTGAAGGCCCTTCTGTTGTTCTTTAATAGGACGTCTTTGGGCTTTCCTGAAGATATTCTCTCGCCTCTAGTTGTAAAAACGTTTGATTTGATTTCACTATAGTAGCGTTCACTCCTTTTCGCTGCTGTTGTTCTTAAGCATATCTGTCGATTTTTCTTGTCTTGACTTCTTGGACACAGCTTCAGTTTCAGTTGGTAGGTGTCCACTGGTCCTTGTGTTGGTCCACTTCTATTGGCTGTGGACTCTCTCTGGCTTTTAAGAGCACAACCCTGTGACAGCCTCTACTTTAGCCTGCCTTAATTGTATTAGCTGGGTTAATGAAAATTCAATTGTTTATTTTGCCCTCTGGTCAAACTGTTTTCCAACGTCTGCTTGTTGTGAGCAAGCAGGGCGGATTTCTGCAATGCAAACTTTTTTCGTTGATGTAGATGTGAATATGTATTATGAAAAATAGCTGACTTGTAAGGTGGTTTGTGATGTTAGAGTGCATTAGGTTATATGCATGTGAAAATTTCATTTAATTGTTTTGCATTTGCCTGTTTCTTGTTACATGTACTTACTATAGCAATAACAGTATAATTATGCATATTTATTAAAAATTACAAGCAACTAGCCTAACCCTAAACCTATAATAAGTACATGTTTTTCATTAATATTGTGCAATTACTGTATAATAATAGGAATGCCTTAAAATAAAGTGTAACCAAAAAAGTATTCATGGATCAGGTTAATGGTTTTATTAATTTTACGAAAACTAATTATAAATAAAATCTCAACTTGATAAAACATCATAAGATCCTTTATGAAAAATGGTACATTACTGTTTGGAGTATTTAAATAAATAAATAAAATACAAGGAATTTTCAAAGTGATGTGCACATTGTGGAAGTACACATCTGTCTTATTTTTCATAATTATTTTAATCATTTTTGTTATAATTATTATTACTACAATATAGCATTGGTGTCTCTGGGACCGCCAAAATTAGGCTTTATAGTGCATAACAACAATTATGATTCATCAATATTGAGGTCATATCAGAGATGTCTGTTGGGTGCCTGGGAAGGATGTTTTTTCTTTAGTGGGAAATAAAATGCTGCACATTAGAGAGCATAAATGTCAAGTTATCACGGTTAATGGAAACAAAAAACACTAATTAAGCTCTAAATGAATGTGCTGTTAGCTGCTTCCGTCTTTTTCAGTGATCTCTAGTGTGAGGAAGAGAGGTTTGGTCAGATCATTAGACATGCAATGGCTGTATAGATTTTAAATTGATTTACCTTTGCATGTAACATAGTTTATAGTATATTTTGTAAACATATTTTGCATCATATATTATATATTATAGTAACTAGATTTGTATTTGTATGACATGTTTGCTTATGGCATATTTAATTAAAAGTATACATGCACATTTAGAAATTATGTATTATTATTAATATTTTAGTATAGTATTAATAGTACCTAGTTGTATTTTGATTATTAATTTATATTACATATACTGCAGTATATATTATATTAACAACATACATTAATAGTGTAAGTATATTTGTATAACTGCGGCATGGTTAGCTCGCAAGCTTTATATTCGCACAGTATTATTTAGCAGTGTGTGTGACAGACGTGTGTTCTGCTGTTTGTTTGGAGAAAGATTATTTCTAATGGGGCTTCTGGAAGGAACCACCTGTGCCTTCATCCTTTCACTGGGTTATAAGAAATTATAAGATATTGAGATGAAACACTCACAGTAACCTTCTTAACGCACATGCTCAAATGCCTTGGAGCCAAAGGGACACGGTGCAGCTGCTGCCAATTGTGTCGTCTCAATCAAGAAACATGGAGAGCTTGTTTGAGGGATAAAGGTTATTTAGGTCCCTGTGGCAGTGGCGGGAGGCAGTGTGAATGTGGGGGGGGTAAGACAGGAACAGATGCCCGTCTGATCTGCTAATGAAATGAAGTTATGGGGCCAGAGGGGTGTTCGGTGCCCTGGAGACATGACTGTTCCTCGAGTTGGAGCAACAGATCATCAGTCCTATGACACGCTGAACCCGGCCTGATCTGGACACAAAGGAAAAAACAGGAAGAACTGGATTCTGGATTTTCTGGAGGAAATGTGAGTTGTATTTGCCCGTGCAAAAGTTGCCAGAGTATTGTGAGTGGTTGCCAGGGTGGGGCTTCATGGTTACCAAGGTGTTCTGAGTATTTTGTTTTTGCTATGTAGTTGCTAGGGTGCTTTGGGTGATTTCTAGGCTTATTAGCTAAAGTCAAAAGAGAGAAAGAAAAACAAATGAGAGAGAAATTACAGCAGGGAAAGTGCCGAATGAAAGGAAAATAGAAAAGGATCAGAATTTGTTGTCCCTGAAATAGAAAATGTTTTTCCTTTGTTTTGAGTTTTAGCTTTGTTTTACAAGGGAGAAAATAAGGAGGATCAAATGCTAAAAAGTAAAAAAAATCATTTTAAAACTATGTTGAACTGCACATGCCAAAACATTATAAATACAATTAGGGATCCAAAGGGTAGAAGATGCCCAGAAAATTTTCAAAACTTTGCAGAAATGTTTGGAAAATTTATGAATTTTCGGAAGCCTTTGGAAACTTTCTGGACATTTTCCACCCCTTTGCAACCCTAAATATAAATATATTATTAAATATAAAAATACTACAAAATGTATAAATATGATGAATGTATAATAAAATAAATACATTATTAGAAATATTGTGAATTTTGGTTTCTAACATTTAGATTTTGGTCTCTTCGATGGTTTCATGCTATCAGCACTCAATAATTCATTGCACAAAACCCATATTTATCCATGTTGCAAGTGAATGTGTATGTAATGTGCATAAGTCTTTTATTTGGTTTTTATTTATTTATTATAACCTGGACATGTTAATTTGAGCCTAATTTGACTGGCATCTACTGAGCAACAGATGAATTTGCTTCAAAATGCTGTAGAGTTTAATTGCACCGCCACTTATGACTACAACAAAAGATACAGGAAGCATTTTTCATCTATTTAAAAAGTTAATTATCCAAGTTATTAACCTTTAAAAGCTACCTATGCATGCTTATATGGTTAGTTGTTGTTTCCCTTTTCCCTGCTGTTACGATCAGAACAGACCTTCAGCCCATTTTAGATCATTAGATCAGTTTTAGTGTATATTTTGCATGTCGCACACACATGAATGTAACAAAGGGTTGCTGAACACTTGCTGACACACACCATTGAGGAGTCAGAAGGCCTGAGGCTCAAACTGACATTATCCAGCTTAGAACAGTCATTCAGTCAGTCAGTCAGTATTACCTCAAACACACTAAACACACAGAGAGAGAGAGAGAGAGAGAGAGAGAGAGAGAGAGACGTATCAGACTCAGGGTGTAAGGAGGGGTGAAGGGCAGGGAACAGCTCTGGTCCTGTCACTTTTCTTCTGGTCATGTATAATGCACAGCCTTGCACTATAATAGAGCTTAATATGTAAGAGTTGAATAATTAATACAATAAAAAGTACTTTTAATTTGTAAAACTGTCTTTTTTTTATGAACTAAGTGAGGACAGTCTTAGTGTTGAAGTGAAAACTTCTCTGTGAGATGTATGCTACTGTTCAAAAGTTTGGGGTCAGAATGATTTTTTAATGTGTTTGAAAGAAGTCTCTTTTGTTCACCAAGGCTGATCAAAAATCCAGTAAAATAAGTAATATTGTGAAATATTATTGCAATTTCAAATAGGTGTTTTGCATTTTAATTTATTATAAAATGTTATTTATTTCTGTGATGTAAAGCTGAATTTCCAGCATCATTGCTCCAGTCTTCAGTGTCACGTGATCCTTCAGAAATCATTCTAATATGCTGATTCAGTGCTCAAGAAACATTTATTATTATCATCATCAATGTTGAAACCCGTTTTTCTTTTCAGGACTATTTAATGATCAGAAAGTTCAAAAGAACAGCATTTATTTGAAATAGAAGTCTTTTGGGTCCAACTACTATGTACTTACATTTAAATTAATCATTTGGTACAATGCACTTATTGTGTACATACATGTTTTTACATTGTACTTATAATTTAAAAATGCCTTCATGTAATTACATCTGCAATTAATTTCTGTAACTACATTTATAATTACACTGTTGACCCATCCCTTACACCTTAACCCACCTTTAAAGCTACCCAAACCACCAAACCTGTCTCTAACCTTACCCGTATCCCACCTCAATAACAGCAAAAGTGTTTTGCAATACAATATGAGCACAATAAGTACACTGTACTCATTTTTTGATGTAGGTACATAGTAGTTAAGGCCACTTAATATAAAGTGGGACCGTCTTTTGTAACATTACTCTCAAACCTTACTGAACATCAAACTTTTGAATGGTAGTGTAAATTACATTAGATTAATGAGTCAATGGCCTTGTTATTTACTCTAGTATGTGCGCTAGCTGAACACGTTTGAAAAATAAAAATAAAAATAGCTGGTACCAGACAGTAATAACTGACACAACACACTAAAAACAATAAATCCACAAATCCACCTATACAACTGCTTTAGGGGCTATTCATACATAATGTGGTTTAAAGGGGTCATGTGATGCTTTTTTAATTATCATTATTTTGTGTATTTGGTGTAACAGGATATGTTGACATGCTTTAATGTTCAAAAAACACATTATTTTTCAAATACTGTACATTATTGTAGGTCCTCTATGCCCCGCCTCTCTCAAACACTTCATTTTCTACAAAGTCCCTCCTTCCGACAAGCACAGTCTGCTCTGATGTACAGTTGTACAGTGCATTGTGATTGGCCGAACACCGCAAGCACTCGTCGGAAATGTAACGCCCCTTACCATAATCGCAAGCTTCATCTTTCAAAATAAATGTAAAGACAGAGCCCGAAAGGGGAACAGAGTCGCGTGACAGACACAGTGATGAAGCTGGTATGTGTTTGCAGTACACAAGCCACGGTTACGACAGCCGACTCTGTG